GCCACAAACTGCTAAAAAAGAAGGAAGTCAAACGCACGGAGCGCAGTGGAGAGCCGAATAATTTTCCACATCCTTCCAGCAGACTGTTTGTCATAGAATCAGGTGTCTCCTGACACGGCCTAGAAAGCTGCCAACGTCGGAATGAACAGAAATAATTGCAAATTATCTGCTAGTCAGACTGCTGTTTTAATACTGCTGTTCAGTTTCTCTTCAGAAGCCTCCAGGACAGAAGGACTTGGCCTTAAGGCAAAAGGCTGTTTCAAATCTTATGCAAAATTGGGTTGATGCCTGCATAGAGGCTTTATAAACAGATGCCTTGTAGGACAGAAAACTTCAAATGTAAAATAATAATTCTTCCCCCATGTATGAGCTAAGGTCATATAAAATAACAGTTTATATGGAAAACTTAAACCATTACATGGTAAAGGTCCTGTTTAGAAACTTAGTTCAGAAATAAATTACTGCCTATACTAAGTCATCTGGTCTCACTCCGGCTCTTGGGCATTGCTTTTTTCATTCAGTTTACACGTCCAAGGAGGAGGCACTTCAGTAACTTTTAAAAGGTACCTGGTTTTGTGGGCAGATGCGTCATTGTGGCAAGAAGACAGTGATGTACAAAGGCTTAATATTTAGAAGCCCTGTTTCAAGTGAGGTAACAGATCAATAATGAGGCTGATGTTTTGATGGAATGTAAGTTAGGATGATATAATAAAGACGGCCTGCCTTTGCAACAATTATTTTTGTTAACTGACATAACAGAATTTCACAAGGTCGGGTGGTGTGCTTTTTTTTCCAAAAATCTTTGTGAAGTGGCTTGCTGGTACGAGCTGCTTCTGTGCTGAATGTCATCAATTACAAAAGCTGCTCAGTCTCCATGACAGTAAACAAGACTTTGTTTAATGCACTCCCAGAGCCTGTGAAATCTTCCTTGAACTAGAAGGTCAGCCAGTCTCTGGCAGGTGGTGAACTGAGCGAACAAGTTAGTTCAAGGTGGTGACAGAGACCTGCTTGTTGTGAAAGTAAAGCTGCCTTTCTACTCTTTGACATTGGGGGGGGGCTTTTTTATCATAAGCATTCAGAAATTATATGTGCTTTTCAGTTATAAGTAGTTGGTAGCTATTAATGGAGCTATTCTCATCACATGCCAGTAGATGTGGAAAGTAATGGATTCCACTGTGGAGGTAGGATCTTAATTATACTTACTTTTTCCAAGGTCAGAGAGGAAGTGTATAAGGCTTCTCCTCACATAGAGTTGATTGAGGCTTGTCCTTTGTGTGGAGCGGCTGCCTGTACAGAGGGGAAGCTTAAGCTAGCACAGGTTGTGTAGAATGGCTCATGCTAGTCCAGTTAATTTAAATCAGAAAGATTCTTCACAGCAGAGCTTAAACAGCTTGTAAATATGTGCACCATATGGAGATATGGAATCATTGTATTTTGTGACTTTCTTTGAACTAGAATGTATGACTGCTGTACCTTGTTGCTCTGTAAAATCAGAACATAGCCCAAACAGTTATGATCACATTGAGAATTTGTTGTGCTGTCTGATTTTGATATAACATAGCAGTAAAAGAACTTAAAAACAATACAGATATCACACTGACAGGGGATTTTGGAGGTAGTTTGATTTCCGGTACTTGTAAGTCATCAAGAAATATGAAAACTCACATTTCCTATTATGGAAGCACTGAAAAGTAACTTGTCAATTTTCTGTGATCTTTGACTTCACAGATAACCACCTTGTAATTCTTAATGATGATGGACACAAATATAATAAATTCCCTTGATTTTAAAGGGGGATGTAAAATTCTGTCCTGAAGTGGCCATCCTGTTTTACTGCATCGATGTTTCTTGGTTGCTTCATAATTTCATGTCAGAAAACTTCACATAGATGATGCAGGAAATTTTTTATTTATTCATCTGTTTAACAGGGCTCAGACCATCATGAAGGCTCGCTTAAAAGGAGCCCAAACAGGTCGTAACCTCCTGAAGAAAAAATCTGATGCTTTGACACTTCGATTCAGGCAGATCCTTAAGAAAATTATTGAGGTAGGTAAATTAGATTTTCCCTCTGTTTGGCTCACTGTTTCATCAGTTGTGTGTTCCCATTCTGCTAACTTCATTAGGTAGGCTGGAATGTAGGACAACTTTGTGGATAACCTGTTTTTTGTAAGTGAGGCTACTGAGGACAGATAAGCAGAACAAAGATTTCTGGTTGCAATGATACAGGAAAAAAAAGCTTAAAAGCAATACCAATGCATAACTTACTCTCAAACCACAACCTGTAATTCCCAGGGGACTAGCAAAAAAGTATTTCACTAACCCAGCTTACAACTCACAGCAACAGCAAAGGACTTATACGTCTTAATAATAATAAAATTCTATTAAATGGAGTTAAATCACAATAAAGCCACAGTAAAGTGGCTCAGTAGGAAAACTGCTTATTTTACTGAATGAGACAGCTGAAGTTGTTTTTCAACATACAGATGCGTGCGGCTTCGTGAAGCTGTGCTCTCTCCCCCACTATTTACACGTCTGAAGCCACTGTAGCTAAAAAACCATGTTACTGAGAAGCAAGAGCCTTTGTGCATTAGACAGTCTATAGGAATTGCGATAGAGTGCCAAGGGCCTGTCTGCAGGACGGCAACAAAGCACTGCTGCTAACCATGGGTATCGCAGCAGCTGCAGCCAGAACTGTCCAACTGAACCCCATCTGGTATGGCAGAACAGAACAAGCCATATTAGGCTCTGCTAAGGATCTTAGATTTGTCTTTCATGTGGCAAAGGAAGAAGCAGAACTCAAGTGATTCTTCACAAAGGAACAAGTTCCATCTGGACAGAACTTCTGCTTTCTAGTGTACCTAGTCATACAGGAAACATTGTTCCCTGCATGCACACTGCAGCATCCTCTCAAGCCAGATAAAGCAATAAAAATGGGGCCACAGAACATGTTAAATCCACTCCTAAAGTATCTGGCAGCATCAGAGGCAAATTCCCTGTAACCTGGAAGAAGAGATGGGGCACTTCGGACACAGAAGAAAGCAGAGTCTAGGACTGGTTGGAAGGAGGTGAAGAATATTAACTCTTGTAATACTTCTCACTCTTAAATTTCTCATTCTTCATGCTGTTATTTATTTATCCTAGAAAAGGAGAAATTATGCACCTTACATTTGCTGCCTCTCTTGTTTTTTAAACAGACTAAGATGCTGATGGGTGAGGTGATGAGAGAAGCTGCCTTTTCACTTGCTGAGGCCAAGTTTACAGCAGGAGATTTCAGGTGAGGATTGCTGATCTTGTGCAAGGCCTACCCATGCGAAAGAGCGATCAACAAAATTCTTTATTTCTCTTTTGGAAAAAAGAAGTAAAATTCTTAAATGCATTTAAAAAAAAAAAGAGGCAGTGGACAAGGTAGGACAGAGTGAACTGAATTCCATTAGGTAAAGGGGAGACATCACTGCAGGAAAGAGATAATTTGCACAGTAAAAATGTGTATTCCATTGGAGGCTAAACAAAGTAGAAAGATTAAAAGGGGTTTACTTTACTTACAGATCCTTGATTTAAGAAGGTGTTGCTTTATGCAGCTTGGAATCTAAAATGTAGGGAAACAAGAATTTGTAGCAGAGTTTTGGGCTATTTATTAATTTGATCTTGTGAATTTGAGGGCCGGATGTAAGAGATGTTATTTTCTCCCAGTAAATCATACAGTAATTTTACTAATTGCTCTAACCTCCTATCTCATTGACCTCCTGTCTCACTAGGGCTAGTAAGAGCTGTATCTGAGAGGGGAAACAAGTATTTTTTTCCTCCAGTAGGGTATTTTTTAAATTGTATTTTAATAAATTACAGTTCTAACTAGGGTGTTTGTGTAATTCATTCAAGCGGGCATAGATCTTACGGAATAGTCAGGGAAGCGTTAACGATTCAGCTGATGGTACTGCCATTAGTGGGGAAGAACTAAGTGATCAGACACAGTAGTAATCTGTGTGCTGCTGGAGAAAAAAAGTCTTTTTGCCCTTTGATATGGATATGGTGCTGTTTCCTGTCCTGACCAGTTGCGGTGTTTAGCTAGAAACAAACAATAGTCAGATTCCGCCCTGTAAGCAAATTGCTTCAATAAAAATGGGCTACAGTGACCTGTTCCCCGAATACCTTAAGACACTTTAGAATTCTTCAGGATGAATTGCTCTACAAGCTCAAATTTGTTAATATGACAGAGATAGTGGGTAAACAAAATCATAAATGTTTAAAAAGAACAAATACATACATACTCAAATGAATGAAATATTGTGGCCTTAGTCTACATTAAAGCCTTGAAATTGAGAAAAGTATCTCACAGGTTGATTAGACTCAATGTTATTAAAATATTTTAAATTTGCCAGCTAACTGGCTGGTTTTTAGCTATGCATTGTATACTTGGTCTAAGACATTTCTAAAGTTACATTTCACAGATACTGCATCTTTTACATTTCCGAGCATTGCTGCAAACCAATTTCTTTCAAAGATGCTGTGTTAGCCTCAAAGTCTGTGCTATGAATTGCATAGGGAACTGAGGTAAAGACAGTTTTCAAATCTTTACATATATTTGATAACTACCTTGTCTTGTATATGATGACTTAGCAAACTTCATCAGCTTTCCTGACTAATGTGTACGTTTTCTTCCTTACAGTACTACTGTGATCCAAAATGTGAACAAAGCTCAAGTCAAGATCAGAGCTAAAAAAGACAACGTAGCAGGTGACTTCTGTAGCCTACAAGTATTTCAACTCTTAAGGGAACTGTGGGAGGAGACTCTGAAATATGCAGGAATGTATCCAAACACTGTCTCCTGTGTAGAAACACTTTTAATTTGGTGGTGTTTTTTTTTTTACATACAGAATACAATTTTTTATATTTATTTACCTCTCATAAAATTGAGTGTGCGTAAACTGCAGTCCAATTTCTAGATCTTCAGACAAAGCATAAGTTCCATACACCTTTACTGAAAAATAGATCAGGAGATTAAGTATCAAAAATTAAATAAGTTTCAGGAAGTTAAATATCAATAGTTGTCTATGAAAAAGCTAAATCAGGACTGAATGCTTAAAACGTTCCTTAAGCACAGGGAATACAAACAGAAACATAATAAAACTGAATATTGAATAAACCAGAATACCTCCCTGAATTCCCTTAATTTTTCATGTGTCTAGATCTCTGTGATCTCAATACAATCCTGAAGTTCCGTATTAAGCTGTCCGAACTAGCATGACTTAATGATTCCAAGCTATATAGGAAGATTTTGGAAGCAAAGCTTCTGAGTTTATGTAATGTATGAAAAGCAAATGGGGTAGAAAGGAGTCGTACTTCATAAATTCATAACCTTGTATGTCTCTTACACACATTCCTGTTCACTTTTGGCAGGTGTAACCTTGCCAGTTTTTGAGCATTACCAGGAAGGAGGAGACAGTAAGTACAAGTATTTTCTGTCTTACATGTACTTACAGCTATTCTACTGTAAAACAAAAATACTTATGATATCATGTCTTGCTGATAAGTCAGTTTATCATAGGCACAGGTGTACTTAGTTCCTCTACGACGGTTTGTCCTGTTCCTGTGACATGGAGGGATTATTAGGGACTCTGGTGGATTTTAGTTTCCTACATCAGTGCGTTTTTCAAATGAGAAGGCTTGTCTTCAATTACCAAGTTTTGAGACTGGTAGGTCTTACTGTGGATATCCACAGCAATAATCTGTAGCAATATAAACCACTAGAAAGACAGTTTGTTAATGGGCAAAGGCTTTAGCTTGTAACTTGCTGACCTGCCTGCATCCCTGTAGTTTGTAAAGTACTAATTTTTATCTAGTAAGAAAAATACTAGCAATATCAACAAAGATTATTTTTTTCAGGCTATGAGCTTACTGGCTTGGCCAGAGGTGGAGAACAGCTGGCTAAGCTGAAGAGGAACTACGCCAAAGCTGTGGAGCTGCTTGTGGAACTGGCCTCCCTACAGGTTCGTGAGAGGGGAAAAATAGGAGATCATTGGTTTCTCACTTCTGAAGTGAAAGTAACATAGTTGCAGCAATTGTATCTTACTACTTTTAGCTGTGCTATAGTGTTTTAGGCCCGCTGCTGTACAAAGTTGCAAACTTTTTCCAGCCGTAAGTTATATTACCACTTCAAAGAAGTCCTTATTCCTTAATGCTAAGAAGAAACTTTCTTTGGAGAGTTGCTATTTGTAACTGCTAATCTGTAGTGTTCAGCATCCTAGTGACATTAGCAGAAAAGAATCCGCTTCCATGAAGAATGTGGTCTGTAAAGCTACATTACAGACTTGGCTTTGGCTTTCACATGCCCTTTGGTTTTTTGTATAGAACTGATGGAAACGCTGAATTTGTCTTACTACGTATTAATTGTTTAATCCCATTTTATCAGACATCCTTCGTTACTTTGGATGAAGCCATTAAAATAACAAACAGACGTGTGAATGCAATTGAACATGGTGAGTATTTTCCCATTTGGGGCGCGTAATGTTCTTCTGTCTCCACGCGAGATCAGGAGCAGGATCATAGAAGCAACTCTTCTTTTAACTGCTTTCTTGTTAGCAGGATTTCTAACTAGTTCAAGAACTCTTCCGAAAGCATTACAATCAAGCGTGTTGCAAGTAAGAACAAAAAATAAAAGTGCAGTGGAATGGACTGGAGTACACAGAGATAAACGAAATACAAACATGAGAAAGTAATCAGGAGGTTGCATTGAGAAACTATAGAACAAATTTTGCAGATACATTCTAGAACCTCTGCTAGTGTCTTCAACTTACTTGGTCAAGTCTGTTGACTACAAACAGAACACAGGTTGTTTCAATGTGTTAAGATAGCATAGTAGCTTTTAAAACTGTAATGGCGGTATCCCATGGAGAGAGCTGGTGACTTTTTTTGTTGGTTTTGGATGGGATTAGAGTAGGCATCCAGAGACAACTCTTGGCAGCCTCTTCAGATTTGTCCTAATGTCAATACTCACTGAATTCCTTAAACTTCACGTTCTTGTTTGTGAACTTGTTTCTTGCAGTTTTTTAAATGTCACAGTATTGCTGTGATTCCTTTTGTTGCAGTATCCAGCGTGCTTTAATTATTTCAAGTTCCTTACAGAGTTGCTGATAGCCCAGATTTAATCATCTCTGCATGTAGGGAATAATTTATTTCAGTACATGATTCTAAACCATCCTTTTTAATAGTTTTTCATAGACTTGTTCCTTTCAACATGCAGGCCTTATCTGCAGCTTATCACTCTGCAAATTTTACTAGAAAAGGTTTCCTCTGCAGCTTTCCAAATAACTTTGGTAGTGCTGATAACAGCTTTCTCCTTTCAAAAAGTGATTCTGACACATAGCTTGCCCAGTTGGGTGTTAAAGCTTTGTTTAATGTCTTATCTCTTCCCTTGTGGTGGTGTTATATTTGAGTATTTGTTTTCATGGTGGCTTTTTCAAACGAGGATTATAATTCCCTGGGTAAAAATGTTATCTTGAACAGAAGTTTCTGAAAGAATGTGATGGAAAAATATAGCTTTAATTCACATCTTGGCCCACCTCTTGCAGGACTTTTAAAACTGCTTCCATGGGGAAAAAGGACATTACAATCAGGGCTCAGTGCTTACTGATGCCATCACATCTTTCAAAAGAATGTGCTACAGGAGATTGTTTTCAGAGTCCTAGTTTAGGCCTGAACTTAGTGAAGAAAACAATTTTGTGTACTTGTCCATAATGAAATAGTATTATCTTCCCTGTAAGACATGTAAATTCTCCGTGGCCAAAAGAATTAGAAGCCTGACTTTAAACAAACATCTGCACACTGCGTTGCTAACTTCTGGTAAATCTAACAGCAGTCCAACAACTTTCTTATTTATATTTTTTTAGTGATTATTCCCAGGATTGAACGTACTCTTTCTTACATCATCACAGAACTGGATGAACGAGAACGAGAGGAATTCTACAGGTAAACATCTAAAGACTTGACTGGTCTCCTTCTCAAATAGACCATTCCTCAGAAGAGACTTAGAAGAACTATTTACCAAATCTGTCAGAAAAACACTGTTAAACATGACCTGGTTCTTAATGCACACTGAGCTTTCAGAGCTGGGCACTTGGAGATACGCAGTTGGCTTAAAGTTAGAAATTAATCCGTACCATGAGGTTGTACCTAGCTGTCATTACCATTCTTCCAGAGGGAGTGATGTGGTAAGAGGACACCGAGGTGTTCTGCTTGAAGGACACCTTTGCCATAGAGGTCAGTGTTCTGGGCTACCTGAGGCAAAAACGTCAAATGTGAAATGAATTAAAGGAGAATTAACTTCTTTAAAAGACAGGCAGAGTAGTATAATGCCGTGTTTAATGTCAAGCATGTAATTTACAGTTTGGATAAAGAAATAAGTTCCTCTGCAGAGATGAAGTTTTTCAATGACAGCAGGTAGCAATAAAAGCCAGTTACAGGATTTTCATTTTCTGGGGATCTTCTCCAGGCAGCTTTATTATACCCAAGTTGTATGGCAACTTTGCTGCTAGCTGATTTTATAAAACCGTATTTGCTTGATGGAGAAACCACACTTCTCTTCACAGATTAAAGAAGATCCAGGAAAAGAAAAAAGTATTGAAAGAAAAATCTGAGAAAGAACGGGAGCTGCGGAGGGCTGCTGGTGGGGAGCAGGAACCAGCCAATCTCTTAGCCGAAGAAAAGGATGAAGACCTTCTCTTCGAGTAACCCAGCACAGTTGTTGTATACGGAGCAATGGGACCCACAATGCAGAATGTCCAATTACGATATAATTCAGGACAGGTTGCATCAATGATACTTATGTGGCTTCTTGGTGTATAAATCTTGAGTTGGATGGATTGTGGATTTCTCCTGGGGCATTAGAAATCTGGGAACTTCACTGCAGCACAGGAGGAAAAGATGAGAGATGAGTCAGGCACTTTACTATCATCTTGCATGTTCAGGCCGTTTCTTCACTTAATAGTGAAGACTGTCCATAGCTGTGGTTTTTGCAGGACGGCTCTGAATTTCCCTAATCAGATTCCTCTTTACTTGCTGCCTTCCCTAGTGCAAGCAGAGGAAAGTGTTATTTAGGGAGGGAGGTGCACGTAATGTGGTTTACTGCTGAACTATTTATGTTGCTTAAAGAAGGCATCGGCACAGCTGAAGTCAAGTGTCAGCAAAGGCAACTCTAGTTTTCTAACCTGTTGATGAAATCCACAGTCTTCTGTGATTTTTGTTGCACGATTGTTACCATTGGCCTAAAACATCTACGGTTTTAATTAGAGGTTCTGCCAACTTGTGTACTGTCTGTGCTAGAAACAAGTAAAAATTTTAAATGTTAAATATCTGGTGTCTGGCTCAAGTCACTGAAAGATGGTGGTCTTAAAAGCTTGTCATGTTCATTTCAGTATAAAACCTCCACACTTCATCTCCTACCCCCAACTTAGAACCCACACTGGGTACATCTCTTTTCAGCCCATGCCCACATTCACTTGACCATTACTGCTTTAGGTAAGTAACTGCGGAGAAGGGGCTCCCTCCTGCCACAAACACAAATATTCAGCTACATATTGCTCCAAATCTTCACTGCAACAGTAGGCTGTCAAGCAAAGCAGGGCTGAATGCACAGCAGTCCATCCTCGCTGTGGTTCTTCACATCCTAGGCTCTTTATGGGAGCCTGGCAGAGCGGCTCATAAGCAGGCTGTCACGGAACGCTGCTCAGTTGGAAGGGCTGTTTTCCTAAAGACGTGCGTTTGCAATCGGCAAACTGAACATATGCCATAGCAGTAATGCTGGTAGAGTGTCTCTAGTACCACCATTCTCATGTAATACTACTCATCTCTTCACGGTAAGCGACTTGTTTTAAACATGATCCAGAACTTAACTGCAGATGCAGGGTAAGTGCAAGGAAATCGATTCCTATCAACACCCTGAAGAAGTCATTTTATAATCGTATGATGCACAAGGCTGCTTCTCTTCTGAAGCTAAAGGTAGCACAGCTAATAGTAAGTCCATACTCTGGTGTAAGGTACAGATCCAGCTTGAGAGAAACTGCAGATTTGCTGACGCGTTGTTACCTCGCCCACTGGATGCGTGGTGTCAGAAGGAACAGGGAATGTTCTCCAGGACACATTCAGCAAAACGGCAGAAAGAAGACTCCCAAGATCCACTACAACAAGTAAAATCGTACAGTGATTTATTTTAAATCTAGAAATATTTTACATTTTTACATTAGTGTGCAGTTCATGATGTCTCAAAATACAGAGTGCAGATATATGTATAAAATACAATGTGGGGCTAACCACAGGTCTCAGTAAAGTTACCTTAGTTATTTAAGGCATTAAACCCCCCATCTTGTATTTTAAAAGGTCACATATAATTACATTCAAAAATTCTTTTATGCAATGTGGCTAACATTTAATTAAATCTGGACTGGTAAAAATGCAGATACTCTCATTTCAGTCTGATCCAGCTCACTACAAAGCTTGTGATAAGGTTGAAGAGTTTCACCGGCAAAGTCTGCATATTCTCTTCTTATCTCAAGGGAATTAAACGCGCATTAGTCATCAAAGAAGGCAGAATAAATTTCTTACACAGGTAGTTCGAGGTCCAAGCTGGCAGCAGATGAGCAGCCAGGAACATTTCTCAGTGCTGCTCAAGAAAAGCTAACACAGGTTATAAACTATCATAGCACCAATTTACGTGGATGTCAGCGAGCACACTGTGTGCCCTGGGAATTAAGAGAGTAAAGCTGAACTTCAAGCAACATTCTGTAAGTCTACATTCAAAAGCTTATTTATGTAAAAACGGCTTCTGTACACCGTTTCAGAAAAAACGGGGAGCCAGTCATTAGTCAAATACACTGACGGCACGGTTTGCTGTGACTGACACTGCCAATGAACACTGAATACCTAGGGGGTCCAGCAACCATCCCGAGCTGATTGTAACTGCAAGAATTTGGACAGTACCTACATAGTGGAGCAAGGTTACCCTAAGTGAACTTGTTTTACTGCTTTCCACCCTCTTGTCCAGCTATGAAATAGTCAATACCAAAAAACATAATACATCTACAATCACCTTGCTTGAAAAAGGGTAGAATTGATACAACGTTGTCAACTATGAAACACTGACAATTCAATACACCTGAACATTGTAGCTGTCATGGATTAAACCGAGAACATGCTTGCAATGTGAGGCAAAAAGCCATTATTTTGAATATCCAGCCCCTGGGCCAACAGCTAGCACATTATTTCTAACACTGAATTGAGCTCAAGAAGATACTGAAGTTTGCAACCTCTTTTCTTTCTGAACGGTCATTACTTACCCCATTAATTGCTTAACAGTTTCTCAACCCTAAATACTAATTAAACCAGCAAGTAATTGTGCTCTCTAAGAAGACAGGAACGCACTCTATACTTCCATTTTTCAGTTAAAAAAGGTACTGAATGTTAGTTCAGTAACCTGGATAGTTATCTGACAATTTCCTTCTATCTGCTGTACACTTTGAGGTCTCTATTTAACTATGGGAGTGAATTTGTTCCATTAACATGCAAAGAAAGAATATATGCAAGACAGAATGCAAAAAATCAACTTTTTCATCCTTCAACATTAGACAGGAGTGAACTACACATTGATGTAACTCCAGTGTATTACCTATAGGAACAAAAAACCACTATGGCTAAAGTTAAGAGGTATTCACGGTCAAGGTTCTCTGTGCTACCCAAAAGCCAAGACACCACTATTCAGTTAGCTGCAGCGACAGAAGGGCCCTACGCAGGGCGTTAGTAGGTGCACAGCCTTGGTAGTTAAACCTTCACAGCTCAGAATCACTTAAGGATGCAGAGATGTTCCGATGTGCTCTGCAGAACACACTAGGGTACAGAGAGACCTTGCCTTTTCTTCACTTGCTTCAAGTTTTTTTGTTTAACTGTTAAAAATATTCCCCTTTCTTGTGACTTCTCAGTCAGTTACCAGTGTTTTACACATACTTTCACCGCAGGACTGAGCAAATGCAGGACAATATGTTGGCTGGTGAATTACAATACTCATTTATAACACAGTACTACAATCAGCTATTTTAATTCCAGTTAGTTATCCAGTAGACCAACAGCCACCAGATGAACCATCCGCAGAGATTAAAATAAAAACCCCACTACCTTCCAATGTTCAGTACATCCGTCTATTTCAGTCAGCATTCTGTTATAAAACATGAGAACTTAAGCTAAATCTAAGCAGCATGTCTTATAACTACATATTTTTCACAAAAATATAACCTCTGCCTTTCTTAATATCTCTACAGATCTGTGGAAAACAGTGGCTCCAATCAGTCAGTATGTTTTAAAGAAAATTCCATAAAAATATCATATCTAAAAGATCAATATAATATTAATCTTTGATTGGACCTAAAATTCACGTGCAGTCAAATCTAATTTAAAAAGTCTGACTAAAAAGACACAAGGATTGAAATATTTACATTATACACATTTTCCAATTACAGTGCTATTAAAAAGTGGAATGTTTGAGAATTAAAATATTAACTCAAGCCTCACAAGGCGGCTCCAGACCAGACGGGATCTTCATTCTGCATATTTTTTGAACAGGAGAGATCTGTCATTACTACTAACATTTTTCATGTGTAGATTATTTCTGTCCAACGATCTGTAGAATTATGCTCCTGAACTACCATCATGTCCCACAAAGTCATTAAGTTAAGTGTTAAATAACATTCATATTTATAACTATGTGACAGCATGGACTGTATATACACACACACACAATTAAAACCGTTGATTTCTTTAGGGTGATTCTAGGTAAAAAAAGGTGGATTTATGTATAAAAGTAGTTGCTATGAAAACAAACAAACAAACAAAAAAAATCTATCTAAAGCTTTAGAATTTAGTACTGACAAGGTCTCCATTTCTAGACCATAGAGAAAGACAACTTAATCTTTAGATGAGTTAAATCAGCTCACAAGCTGATTAGCACATTTTTTTGATAATACGCAACTTCACTGGCAAAGGATACAGCCACTGAGGTCTAGAGCTCACACGATTTTATACTAGAATCAGGCAGACCTACACACGATCTCCTTGGAAAGATTACTAGATTGAAATCCATTTGTCCTTGGACTTGCTCTCTCATCGTAGCCAGGTAGAGGGCACCCACTGGGGTTCTGTGTCAAGTTTGTTTATTAACCGAAGTAACTCTTGATACGCCTTATCAAGGTCAGAATTGACAATTGCTGTATCAAAGTAGTGGCCATTGTTCTGTTCCATCTCCCTCGTCTTCTCTATGATTTCTCTCAGCTCTTCTGGCTGCAATCAGAAACAGAGAATTAGTGTATGTAGGGAGAAGTAAGGAAAGGTAACAACTCTGAAAAGTCTTTTAGACAAATTTTCATGGTACTGCTACCAACTATCAAAAAGTTTACAGCAACATTGAACCAAGACAGATTTTTGAAAGCTACGGGCCCTGAAGACAGTCCTCTCCAATTGGCTGTACGGGACAAACCAGTAAATAACTGTCCCAGACTGAAGTCAGCAAAGTCCTAGCACTGCTCATTTTATGACATTCATCTTTCTGAGGCTATTAAGTCATGTTTCTGAAAAATAAGTTAGGCTGCTAAGCCCACTGTCCTTCCAAAAATGGCTGGAGATGGCAGATGCAGCATGAGAACAAGTTTAAATGGTGTAGAACAAGATAACATTCCTCTGAAAATGTAGCACTAAAACCACCGAAAAGCCAAAGGCAACAGCTATCACTGAAATACCTCTCACCAGCAATGAGAACCACAGTGAGAGCTAGACAGCTAAGCTGATCGAATCACCACAGCATCAGGTAAATGACACTGCAGAAAAATGGAAAATGTGACTTGGGAGCTGGGAGTATGTCAAGAGCACGAATACTACAGATGTAGACAACTGATGAAAGGGAAAAGTAGAAATGGTTCCTTTTACTTCAGTTTTTTTACACTTGGATTC